GAAGGATCCGTCAAGAAATGGCTGAGTTATCGAACAAATTGTGATTTTTTTGTCAGACCATCCCTGAGGAGGGTTACGGGGATTTTTCGAAAAAAATTTTTTGCTCAGAATTATTCACAAGACACATAAATCGACTCAGTTTTTAACGCTGAGTCTACAATCTGCGTCATTCACTTTTTGTAGTACACTTAACTTTCGGATAAAATCCGAAGTTTCCGCATTTATTAACAGAAAAATTTAAGTCAGTAATAACTCAATTCTGTATACAAACGATTTGTATGGTTTTCAGTTGTATATTATAATTCTTTTATAATTTTTCGAATGTATTCTTTCTTAATAGCTACTTTGTAGAGTCTGTTCAATATCAGTAAACTGTTTTTTCTCATAACGCGAATCTTAGAATTTATCACAGAATGATCCAAAACATTTAAAATAATGACAACTTGTTAGAGTTATTTTTATATTTAATGATGTATATCTATGTTAAGCTTTTTCATTATTTGGTTATTTCATCTTATAAAATTACCTGATCGGTAAAAACCGAGGAAAATATGCCATCTCATCTAGGATTAACTTTGCAACAGGTCGTGATAGAAATAGAATACTTGAAACTTAATCTAATTCTTCTACAATATATTTGATATGAATAGATGAACTAGCAGCCTATAATACACCTAAAAACACTAATATGCATTGTGGATGTATCAAAAAATCCAAAGTAAACTTCGATATGAAGCTGAAAAACTATCAAATATATCTGTTTAGAGATGGATATATACAATCATTTTATGTCTTGTCTTTATTCAAATATATCAAAAGTACAGGTGTAAAAATACCAGTGCACGACTATTAGTCGACTGATATTGAACAGAAAGTGATCAAAGTCTCAGTATTGTTGCATGAGTATCAAGATCATTGATAATCAATCTTTAGAATCGAATTCAATAGTTATATTCTACAGAATTTTGTGTCTCATACAAGTATTTGTAGTCATAAATAATTAAGATTTTTTTTGCTCATATTAGAACGATAAAGATCACTTTTCGGAAAATACTTAGCTAATACTAAAGCACAAACAAGAAAAGAGATTATTGATTTCATTAATAATCCTTCTAATGGAAAATTATACTAGAAATATAAATGTTATATGATTTACTTACTCTTCTATCGGCTAAAATATGATGGAATTGCTGATATATAAATCATCCTCATATTTTGATTAATCAATAATTTTTCTTTTTCCTATAGTTGTACTTGAACTCTCAGTTAATGAAGAAGAAACAATAAGTCAACGTACAGTTCCGACTACACTTTCATTTCAAACAGTGATTGTATCCAATGAAAATATAAACAAAGAAGAAATTGTATTAATTTGGTACGATAAAAATATTGGTATATACAATGGCACAAAAAAAACTATCGAATTACTTCAACAAATAAACGATTATGTTTCAATTTGTTCGAATCGTGAAACATGCATTGAATATATTAGACAAATTCAAACAGAAAAAATCTTTGTTATTCTATCAGGTTTGAGTGCAGACGATATTCTAGATGAAATACATGATTATCAACAAATTGATTCGATTTTTATTTTTTGTATGAAACGTGAAAAGTATGAAATATATTTAAATAACAACAAATATTATAAAGTTGTTGGAATCTATACGAAACATGAATCATTATTGACTGCTCTACAAGAAAATATTCGTTATTTAATAAAACAAACAGAAGCAGCAGGTTTATTTGATCAAGATGAACGATCAATGAGAAATTTAAATCGAGAATTATATACATTTCATTGTTTTTTTGCATTCAAACAAGTTCTTTTAAAAACTGATTACAACAGCGATGCAGCAAAACGTGAAATGATTGAAATATGTCGAAACTATTATCGTAACAATAAAAAAGAACTAAAAAACATTGATGAATTTGAACGAACATATCAATCAGAGGATGCTATCTATTGGTATACGAAACAAACATTTATCTATCGTTTAGTAAATAAAGCATTACGAACTGAAGACTATGAAGCAATGTTGGTACTTCGATTTTTTATTGTTGATTTATGCGAAAATCTTCGACAAAAATATGAAGAATTAAAATAACATTCACAAATTGTTATATCCTATCGTGGATTAAAGTTAACACCACAAGAGATTTATAATCTTAAACAGAATGTAGATGAAACAATAGCAACAAATGGATTTCTATCGACGAGCAGATCAAAAAATATTGCTTATGCATTTGCAAAGAAAGTTACAAAACGTTCGAATGTTGAAACAGTTATGCTGGAAATTGATGTAGATATGTCACAAGTAACAGTCATTTTGGCTAATATTGCTCAATATAGTGATTATCCAGAAGAACAGGAGATTCTATTCGATTCAGGTGCATCATTTACTATAAATTCAGTACTTTATGATAATATAGATAAGATATGGATTTTTAAATTGACAGCTAAATCAGAAGAATCATGGATTAGTAGTATACAAACATTACTGAACGAATACAGTTCAGAAAGAGATATGAACATATTATTGGGTAAATTATTGTTTAAAATGGAAAAATACAGCATATGTCGAAAATATTTCGAAAATCTTATCAATATCTATGGAAATGAAGAACACGAAAATTTAGCTAAAATTTATAATTTTATTGGGAAATCGTCTCAGAGGCTGGATGATCATGACGAAGCTATTGTTAATTGTGAAAAAGCATTTCAATATTATATTCTTATGAATCGTTTGGAAGATGCTGCTAGGATAACAAGTTTGATTGCTACTCAATATAACATGAAAGATGACAATGTGAATGGACGATTTTATCTCATGAAATCATACGATATGTGGAAGAAAACACCGACATATTATTCAGAAAATCCTCATTGTGGCATAGGTTGTATAATGATATTGTTTGGATTATTTGAAGAAGATCATCTAATAATACGTGATTATTTCTTACAAGCTTTGAAAATATATGAAAATCCATCTAACACGTGTGAACATAACAATCACGATGAAGAAATTGCAACAGTCTGTCGACTTATAGCAAATGGATATCACGACGATAACGACTATGACAAAGCATTCGAGTATATTATGAAAAGTATCAATATTCTAGGAAAAAAAATGGCGTCAGCTCGAACTCGTCAATATTATGTTAAATGTCTCAGCCTATTATGGAGAATTTGTGACAAAACCCATAACGATCTTTGGTCGACATATAAAAACCAAATCGATCTGTTATTCGATATTGAACTTGTTCAATTAGATCCTGATCTGAAAGAATTGCTCGACTGTATAATTGATCTACGAAGAATACATCTTGACACTAGAGATGCTGATAGTAGAGTATCAGCTGAATTTTTAGAACATTCATTAAAATTTTTGAAATTTATTTTAAAATCGGATCCGAAGAATTATGAGAAAATTATTCAAGCACATATGGATATTGGCCTAGCTTATGAGAAAACAAAAGATTATGATTGGTCATGTCAACACTATGAAAAAGCTTTAGAAATGTGTCAAACATACACTCCAAATAATTTAAAACAGATTTCAACAATTTTTAGACATTTAAGTGATATTAATTTGGATAGAAATAATTTTGATCATGCTATTAGTCTTCGAATTAAATCACTTACGATTAGTGTAAACGAAAAAACATATCATTTAACAGAGGACGATAACAAAGCACAATGTTATTACGATATTGGTCGGAAATTCCTATATACTGATCTTGATAAAGCATTTGAATTTATTCAAAAATCATTAGAAATTCGACAACAAATTTTACGAGAGCATCATGTCAACATTGCCTTTTGTCATCATGATATTGGTGTTGCTTACGAGAAGAAAGATATGTTTGATGTAGCACTAGAACATTACGAAAAAGCTATTGAAATATATGAAAAACATTTATTTGATAAAGAAGAATATCCATTTAATGTCACGAAGGCGTACGGTCAATGTTGTTCTAATATCGCTAAAATTTATTGTCATCAAACAAAATATGATAATGCATTTACTTATAGAATGAAAGCATTAAGTATTGACGAAAAATACTGTGATTTAACTGAAAAAGAACAGGAAGCACAATGTTACTTTGATATTGGTAAAGAGTTATATGGTACAGATCCTAATAAAGGACTTGAATTTACTATAAAGTCACTACATATTCGACAAGAAATTTTACCAAGAGATCGCATCACCATTGGTTTTTCTCATCATAAAATTGGTGAAATTTACGAAAAAAAAGTTATGTTTGACATAGCATTGGAACATTACAAAAAAGCAAGTGAGATTTATGAAAAACATTTATTTGATAAAGAAGAATATCAATTTAACGTCAAAAAATGTAACGATATATGTCATACTAATGTTTATATAATTTATTGTCGTCAAAGAAAATATGATGATGCATTCATTTATAGAATGAAATCATTATGTTTTGACGACAAGAAATGTCATTTAACCGAAAAAGAAAAGGAAGCACAATGTTACTTTGAAATTGGTGATGAATTATGTTTAACAGATCCTGATAAAGCACTTGAATTTACTCTTAAATCATTAGATATTCGAAAACAAATTTTACCAGAGCATCATGTCAACATTGCCTTTTGTCATCATAATATTGGTGCAAGTTACGAAAAAAAATCTATATTTGACATGGCAGCAGAACATTACAAAAAAGCAATTGAAATATATAAAAAACATTTATTAGATAAAGAAGAATATCAATTTAATGTTCTACAGCTTTACGGACAATGTCATAATGGTTTAGCTATATGCTACACTTGTATCGAAAAAGGTAAATATGTTAATGCAATTGATTATACGTTAAAAGCATTACAAATTTTTCAACAATATTCTCCAGAAAATAAAATCGATGTTGCCCGATGTTATTGGAATTATGGTTATATCTCATGGATAAAAGGACAATATGATGAAGCTATTGATCAATTATATAAATCATTAGATATACTTTTATATCAAAAAACAATTCATGTAGGACGTTCCTATCAACTTTTAGGTGTTTGCTACTATGAAAAATTCGCATATCAACAAGCATTATCATTCTTTGAAAAGGCCTTGAAAAACTATGAACAATTTTTACGAAATGAAAACGATGAAGATGTCGGACTACTATTATATTATACATCCTTATGCTTATTCAAATTGAATAACTACAATCAGGCTCTAGAATATGCAATCAAATCAAATCAAGTTCGAAATGAAATATTTCCATCGATACATGTGCAAAGAGCAGCATCACATAGTATATTAGCAGTAATTTATGTAAAATTACAACAAAAAGAAAAATCTAATCAACATCGTATTGAAGCTTTAGAAATATCGAAACAGTTGATTTCAAACAATGACAAAGTCACAAATATCGGCTGTATATTTGAAAATATTGGTGAACTGTATCACAATCGCAATAATCTACGACAAGCTCGAAAATATTATAAAAAGGCAATACAATATATAAAGCAAGACAAAATAGATGATCATCCATATATTGAACGTATTCAAAAAATTATTGACAGTTTATCAATTAATTAGACAAATATATAAATAATGCCATACAAATATATCTGTCATAACTCTAAAATTATCTGAATTACCAACATATTTACTCTATCCTAGGATTTTCAAAATTCTACTAATTAACATAATGTACTAGAGTTTTGGATAAAGAATCCTTCTAGATGGAATTGTAACTTTTTTTATTTTCGAGAAAAAAAGAATAAAAATGTTGAGGCAGCATTGTCATCTCTTGTTTATATCGATCATTTATAAAATTCGAATGTGGCTTTCAAATAACTACTTTTCATATTTATCATATAGCCTTACTTCGGACTGAAGTGTACGTATGGGTATGTGATGGACATGAGCAGGGTGTGGGGTGTAGGTGGGTGTGGGGTGTGTCTATGCGGGTGTCCGTGTAGAGAACTACGAGAATTATACCACACCCACGCCCA